AAACTAATTTTGATATTCAAATATCTCGGCTGAACTACTGTTATCAGTTAAAGATGTATGCGAAAAGAGCATGATTTAATAACGCCTTTTGAAATATGGGGGCCATTTAATGATGACTTGACATGCAAATATTACATACTGCTACTAAAAGTCTTATTAATGAAATAAAAAAAAAATCATGTACCCAAGCTCCTCCCAGATTTGATGTCCTGGTGATGTCTCATTGGAGAAATCACACACAGTTTGAACAAGTTAGTATATGTATTATTAATGTTCATTTATTTAGGACAGAGTTTAGCCGTACATTATTGTCCCTGTCAGGAAGAGAGAGACATAGGACCTGTCTCCAGATGTTGGTGGTTTTGGTTGGGAGTAGAGTTTAAGGATTTAAACTCTACATATTAGTACATATTAGTGGCAGGGAAAACTACACAGAAACAGGGAGAACATGCAAACTCCCCTCAGAAGGACTGGACTCTGAACCCCAAACACAGGGCCGGCCCCGTGTGTTGGTCCTGGCCCCGGGTCCCAGGAGCACAGAGCTGTGATATGGTGTTTGTTTAGGCCTCGGCTGCTGAGCTCGACCTCAGAGCGAGAGAAGGAGAGATGTGAACATGACAAAGGCGTTCATCACTGGCTTTTCATCTCCTGCAGTATGTGGAGAATCTAATATGTTTTTATGGAGTTTGACGCTGAGTTATGTCTTCAAATTCATTATGGACGTTTTAACCACAAGAATATTATTGAAATGCACATCTGGTTGTAATAAAATCAAGGGCATGGATCACACAGAGAGAGAGAGAGAGACCAGAGACCAGAGACCAGAGAGAGAAACAAGAGGGAGACCTTAAAGGGACCAGAGAGAGAGAGATCAGGCAGAGAGACCAGAGGGAGACCAGGGAGAGAACAGGGAGAGAGAGAGCAGTGAGTGACTGGAGAGAGACCAGAGAGAGACCTCAAAGAGGGACCAAAGAGAGAGAGAGAGAGAGCAGAGAGAGAGATGAGAGAGAGACCGGGGAGAGGGGAGGCCAGAGAGGAAGACTGGAGAGACACCAGAGAGAGACCAGAGACAGACCAGAGAGAGAGAGCAGAGAGAGAGACCATGAAAGAGACCAGAGAAGGACCAGAGAGAGACCAGAGACAGAGCAAGAGGGAGAGACCAGAGAGAGACGAAAGAGAGAGACCAGAGAGAGAGATGAAAGAGAGAGACCAGAGAGAGACCAGAGAGAGACCTGAGAGAGACCAGAGACAGACCAGAGAGAGAGAGACCAGAAAGAGACCAGAGAGAGACCAGAGAGAGACCAGAGAGAAAGACCATGAGACAGAACAGAGAGAGAGACCAGAGAGCAGAGAGAGACTAGAGTGAGATACCAGAAAGAAAGAGCAGAGAGAGACCAGAGAGAGACCAGAGACAGACCAGAGAGAAAGCAGAGAGAGACCCAGACAGAGACCAGATCTCTACTATGACTGTAAACAGAAGCCTTTAGTTGTGAAGAGACTTCAAACCAACAATAACGTGCGCCTCATGTTTCTCTGTTTCTCTGCCTCTCTGTCTTCTGCAAACTGCATTTTGAGCATGTACATGAAAAATCTGAGCGTTAACTTGATCCAGTCCTGTGTGAGTTTGTCTCAGTGGAGCGGAGCTGGCTGCTGCTGCTCTTTCTCCTCGGACCATTAGACCCAGGCTCAGGATTGGACTGTGGGAACCAGGGACTGCCAGAGCACCACAGGCAAGAAAAAACACAAATATCCTTTATATGAAGTAACACTGCAGTGATTGATACATGATGATCTTTTCTTGATCCATGAGTGAGAGAGACAAGAGAGAGACCAGAGTGAGAGACACCAGAAATAAGAATAAGACTGGAGAGAGACCAGAGAGAGTCTAGTGAAAACCGCTTGTAAACCGCTTGTGACTCTGGTCTGGGAAAGGCGGGTATATAAATAAAGCTTACTTACTTACTTACTTACTTAAAAAGAGAGCGGAGAGAAACCGCAGAGTTAGACCGGTGTGAGAGGGAGACGAGAGAAAGACCAATGAGAGAGAAACCAGAGAGAGAAACCAGAGAGAGACAGGTGAAAGAGAGACTAGAGAGAGACTGGTGAGAGAGACTAAAGAGAGACCAATGAGAGAGAGAGCAGAGAGAGAATGATGAAAGAGAGACTAGAAAGACCAATGAAAGAGAGAGAAACCAGAAAGACCAGAGAGAGACCGTGAAAGAGAGACTGTATATAGGCAATTGTTTTAGAGACCAGAGAGAGACAAAGAGAGACCTATTGAGAGAGAGAGAAACCTAGAGAGTTGAGAGAGACCAGTGAGAGAGAGGCTAGAGAGATGGAACAGAGAGAGATCAGAAAGAAAGAGGAGAGACTATATTGACAACACTTCGATGATTAAGCGCATGATGCTGTTGTTTTGATCCTGATTTTTCCTCTAGGTTTCCTTCTGTTTTTCTTTGCACAGTGGTCAGTGGGCTGAAGCCATGAGCGTGCAATATCTCACTAGAAGCTTTTAATGTAAGGTGCAATATGTATGACCATGTTTCATGTTATTCATATTAATTATCATTTATATGTGAACACTGAGGAAGTTCCATGCTGTCTCTGACTTCTTATGCCACAACCCAACAGTTGAGAAGTATCTTTTTACTTAAACGTGTTTGATGACAGGCCAGCTCAACGACAAGACTGGGGGGCTGGAGAGGAACCAGAGAGAGACCTGAGAGAGACACCAGAATTAGACCAGAGTGAGAGAACCAGAGATGAGAGCAGAAAAAGGAACCAGAGAGAGACCAAAGAGAGAGAGGACCAAAGAGATAGCTGAAAAAGAGACTAGAGAGAGAGACAGGGAGAGACCTGAGAGAGACCAGAGAGAGAGCAGAAAAATAACCAGAGAGATAGCTGAAAAAGAGACTAGAGAGAGAGACCAGGAGAGAACCGAGGAATAGACCGATAGACACCAGAGTTAGACCAGAGTGAGAGACCAGAGAGACCAGAGAGAGACCAGAGAGAGAGCCAGAAAAGAGACCAGAGAAAGAGACCAGGGAGAGAACCGAGAATAGACCCGATAGACACAAGAGTAGAGCAGAGTGAGAGAGACAGAGAGAGAGACCAGAGTAAGGGACAGAAGAGACCAGAGAGAGAGCAGAAAATCGACAGCACCATCAATCACGCACAGTGTCACCCGCATCACCTCCTTCCACTCAGAAACCATTCGCCAACTCTGCCTTCCTTCCCCTCCACACCATGCATACTCATACTGACTCTTCACCTGTCTCAACTGTCTCTAACTATTTTAACGTCCTCCTTTTCAGTCCCCTGCCAAAAAACCATCTGTAAACCCCAATGGTCCAAAACATTGGCGCACCAACCCCTCCTTCAACCCCATCACCTGGTCCTCCAACAGCTCCACTGGCTCCAATCACTCACCGCATCCAATAAGAAATCTGCTCCTCACATACCAAAGCATCCACAAACCTCACTCCTCATCCTGACTGACCTCTTCCAGATCTCCCACTGCCCGCCTCCCTCCTTCCCTCAGCTGGTCCCTCTTGCACCTCATCACCATGGGGTGTCGATCCTGCAGCCGCTCTGCTCAAGTCAGTCCCCTCACTCCTCGTATGTTGTGGTATTGTTGCATGCCTCACTTACACGTTTCCTTTTGTTTCTTCGACCAGAGAGCGCATGTTTGTCTTCAGATATTATTTTGCCGTTGCAAGTTTCACAAGTGGTTGCGCAATGTAAACGACAAATTGTGTTTTGTGATTAAACGGGCACAAATTTTGATCACCACTCGATCAGCTATTGTTACCAATGTGTTATTGCTCTTACGCTGTTGGACATCACATGTTTGATCAGCGCTGTGTGATCTGTCGAGTTGTTTTGATATTGCTCTGGGCTGCGTTGACTGTTTGGAGTCAGGCTTGTGAGAATTCAACTTTAGCAATTAAATGCTTTGAATCAAGCTGTTGTAAAGTAACTTCTTTTTTCAGCGTGTTTTCAAGACTGCGTACCTGTCATCGCAGCTGTGGTCTGCCTTACACACCTTCCCTGCCTCAAGCTGATAGACGAGACAGGCAAAGGTTATCTTGGCAATGTTACTGGCGGGGCCTGCCTTTTCGGCACAAGAGAACATCAAACATCTGGGGAGAAGGGCTCAAAAAAGGGAGAGTTCTTGGGGGGATTCACCACATCCTCCTCCTCTCAACTAGAGTCACCTATCACCATTGCACAGTTCAGAAAGAACATCCTCTTGGTTCCTCCTCGAATCTGCTGAGCTTACATTGGAAGTTTCTATGCAGGTTACTCGAATCAACAGAGGAAGGATTTCTAGTTCAATTGGTCTTAAGAGTACCTGCACTATAATCTCTCTCTAAAGACACAGTTGCTGGACATGAACTCCAAGTGAGCTCCAATCAAACCCAGGCGATCAAAGATGGCGTCCTATTGAAATGAAATGGCTAGTGCTCAGTGGTGCATGTGTCACCTTGGGGACAGAAAGATTAACTGAACTCGCCCTGATTTGGGCATGTTGGTCCTCCTGGTTCTATGCAATGGAACGAGCTCCTTAATGCTTTGCGCAAATATGTACGTGTGGTCTCATGCACGTTCCTAGAGGGGCTTCGGGCCGTATTTGACCACATCGGAGCTGCTGATAAGAGCGGAGCCAGAGCTGGTTGGGATGGGAGCCAAAGAGCAGTGTTTTTGTCCACAGTGGCTCCCGTAGAATCTTTTTATCCCTAGTCCATATATCCTCAGGCTTCCCCCCAGTACAGCCAAATTGTCGTTGACGCCCCTTTGTCCCAGGACACTATTTATTGGTCGCCCCCCCACAGCGGTGGGATAGGTTTAAAAAGAGGGAGGAGGAACGTACAGCAGGAGAGGCTGGAGCAGAAACTGGGAAGTAGACTGGGAAAGAGGAAGGAAAGGAAACGTCGAAGTGCCGGTCAAGACGATTACCACCAAGACTAGAGCGGCGCAGGAGCGGGCGGACGCGGACAATGGACGAGCCAGAAAGACCTGGTACAACGCCTGAGCAGTGATAAGTACAGGGACGTGTCGACTCACCTCTGTTACATGCGTATACATTTCTGGGAGAGTTGGGATCTTTGAGACGGCTTGTGACCCGCAGCTGTTGTTGTACGGGACAGTCTACAGAGGGCGGGAGGGACCAGGAGGGAGGCCGGGGAAAGATGATACAACAATACAACCTCTATTGTTAGGGGAGTTACCCTAACATCGCTCAGGAAGTGGAGGCTGCGTGTACTGTCTTGTTGGTGGTAGCTTACTTCCTTCCAGCTACCACGCATCCGACACCTACCCACCCGCGGGATTAGGAACAGCAGGACCAGACCGGCGAATCGGCTTATTTGACAACGCCATGCTGTGATAAGTAAAAGGGATGTCCCTGGTTTCTCATTGCCGTGAGTGTGTGGTGATTTGCTGTGTTGTGTCTGAAGGCCCTGGTCTGTGTGTCTGCAGCTCCTCCCAGTGGTGTTGGCAGAGGTGGTCGGAGGTGGTTATGGTTCTGCTGCGGACCTCTGCTTCCCACCAGGGGGCAGCATTGGACAGCAGCATTGGACGAGCAATAATGTCTGAGCACTGCCCTCTAGTGGACCTTTTTTAGTGTAACATATGGGTTTTAAAAATTAGCACTGCTTCATTTGCTTTTTACCATCCACTTTATCTATGCACATTTTCCAAAGTGGGGGATGGTGCTGTGGATACTGGGTGCAGCTCTGACGGCCACCCTCCGACCTAGCTGGCCATAGCCCTCAGTACACTACGCTCAATCATCATTTCACTGCATGTAGCGTCTGGGTCGGTGTGAGGGTCCCTGTGTTAGCGAATATAATCGGTCGTATTACGCCGGCTACTCAGAGATGCGCGGAAGGCGGGTGTTGTAGGTCGGTGCGGTGACGTCAAGAGTTTGCGCCGAACGGGCAGGTTGTAGTTTGGCAGTGGCGAAAAAGAATGGTTAGTAAAGTAATCGGTCTGGTTCATCAAGAAATTGAAGCCGGAGCAAGAGGAATGTTTTGCAAATGTAATCGCTGCGTCAAAGATGAGACGGCTACTCCCCACGGATTCCGTTAGGGCAAAGGAGAAGGCCTAAAGCTAGGCTACATTGCTAATGTAAACAACTACCGGGCGCACTACATAACGTAACGGTAAACCTCAGATCCACAATCGTTTCAATCTGCAACAGGCGTAACCCTCACACCTGTTCATGGAGTCATTGGAGCAAATCCAGACCTTAGTACGAAATTGTAATTTGTACTATGTGTGGTCAACCAGGCTACCCCGACCAGAAATGGATTAAGAGGAAGAAAAGGGTGGATGGATGGAAGTTTCCAAAGTGCTTGCACAGAGAATAAAAGAGAGAATATGCAGGTTTGCCAGCATAAAATATAGAATAGTTAAACAATTATGATGATTCGGGAGTAATCATCATGATCCAGTTAGGTTTTTATAGAATTAGGAAACAAAAGCCAGAGTGGTGACTGTGAGTGGTATTTACTGTTTATTATAAACAGACAGGCAGGTTGTGGAGACGGCACGCTGGAGAGGCTGGCCGAGGCAGCAGTAGAGCACCTCGAACAATATCGGAGACGGTAAGTTAAAAGCTCAGGAAAAATCCAAATTAGCACCGAGGCAAAAGTACTACAGAACGAAGACGGAATTATCTGGCGAGCCCAGGTCTGGTCTCAGAAGAAGCAAGCGTCCGCACTGGTCTCTCTCTGGTCTCTCTCTGGTCTCTCTCTGGTCTCTCTCTGGTCTCTCTCTGGTCTCTCTCTGGTCCTCTCTGGTCTCTCTCTGGTCTCTCTCTCTCTGGTCTCTCTCTGGTCTCTCTCTGGTCTCTCTCTGGTCTCTCTCTGGTCTCTCTCTGGTCTCTCTCTGGTCTCTCTCTGGTCTCTCTCTGGTCTCTCTCTGGTCTCTCTCTCTGGTCTCTCTCTGGTCTCTCTCTGGTCTCTCTCTGGTCCCTCTCTGGTCTCTCTCTGGTCTCTCTCTCTCTCTGGTCTCTCTCTGGTCTCTCTCTGGTCTCTCTCTGGTCTCTCTCTGGTCTCTCTCTGGTCTCTCTCTGGTCTCTCTCTGGTCTCTCTCTGGTCCCTCTCTGGTCTCTCTCTGGTCTCTCTCTCTCTCCTGGTCTCTCTCTGGTCTCTCTCTGGTCCCTCTCTGGTCTCTCTCTGGTCTCTCTCTCTCTCTGCATGGTCTCTCTCTGGTCTCTCTCTGGTCTCTCTCTGGTCTCTCTCTGGTCTCTCTCTGGTCTCTCTCTGGTCCCTCTCTGGTCTCTCTCTGGTCCTCTCTCTCTCTCTGGTCTCTCTCTCTGGTCTCTCTCTGGTCTCTCTCTGGTCTCTCTCTGGTCTCTCTCTGGTCTCTCTCTGGTCTCTCTCTGGTCTCTCTCTCTCTCTTCGGTCTCTCTCTGGTCTCTCTCTCTGGTCTCTCTCTGGTCTCTCTCTGGTCTCTCTCTGGTCTCTCTCTGGTCTCTCTCTGGTCTCTTTTTGGTCTCTCTTTGGCTCTCTCTGGTCTCTCTCTGGTCTCTCTCTGGTCTCTCTCTGGTCTCTCTCTATGGTCTCTCTCTCTGGTCTCTCTCTGGTCCCTCTCTGGTCTCTCTCTCTGGTCTCTCTCTGGTCTCTCTCTGGTCTCTCTCTGGTCTCTCTCTGGTCTCTCTCTGGTCTCTCTGATCCCTCTCTCTGGTCTCTCTCTGGTCTCTCTCTCTGGTCTCTCTCTGGTCTCTCTCTGGTCTCTCTCTGGTCTCTCTCTGGTCTCTCTCTCTGGTCTCTCTCTGGTCTCTCTCTGGTCTCTCTCTGGTCTCTCTCTCTGGTCTCTCTCTGGTCTCTCTCTGGTCTCTCTCTGGTCTCTCTCTCTGGTCTCTCTCTGGTCTCTCTCTGGTCTCTCTCTGGTCTCTCTCTGGTCTCTCTCTGGTCTCTCTCTCTGGTCTCTCTCTGGTCTCTCTCTGGTCTCTCTCTGGTCTCTCTCTGGTCTCTCTCTGGTCTCTCTCTCTGGTCTCTCTCTCTGGTCTCTCTCTCTGGTCTCTCTCTCTGGTCTCTCTCTCTGGTCTCTGGTCTCTCTGGTCCCTCTCTCTGGTCTCTCTGCTTCCTCTCTCAGTGTGGATCCAATGAGCGACATTTCAATAATGAGAGAAAATAATGCTATGATCAAACTCTGTATAGTTGGGTCCAGTCTTCTCTGTTGGTCTGAACTGCTCTGTTGTTACACATGGTGTTCTGGGTCCTTGTAATGGAACTGCTAACTCCTGGTTCCAGGTACCAGTTCAACCCAGCCTACTTCCAGACCCCGGTGACGTCTCAGATCCTGCTGAAGGCCCTGACCAACCTGCCCCACACAGACTTCACCCTCTGCAAGTGCATGATCGACCAGACACACGTATCCTTCTGCTGCTGGTCCTAGTCTCTCTCTGGTCTCTCTCTCTGGTCTCTCTCTGGTATCTCTCTGGTCTCTCTCTCTGGTCTCTCTCTCTGGTCTCTCTCTCTGGTCTCTCTCTCTGGTCTCTTTCTCTGGTCTCTTTCTCTGGTCTCTCTCTCGGGTCTCTCTCTGGTCTCTCTCTGGTCTCTCTCTCTGGTCTCTCTCTGGTATCTCTCTCTGGTCTCTCTCTCTCTGGTCTCTCTCTGGTATCTCTCTCTGGTCTCTCTCTCTCTCTGGTCTCTCTCTCTCTGGTCTCTCTCTCTGGTCTCTCTCTCTCTGGTCTCTCTCTCTCTCTGGTCTCTCTCTCTCTGGTCTCTCTCTCTGGTCTCTCTCTCTCTGGTCTCTCTCTCTCTGGTGTCTCTCTCTCTGGTCTCTCTCTCTCTCTGGTGTCTCTCTCTCTGGTCTCTCTCTCTCTGGTCTCTCTCTCTCTCTCTGGTCTCTCTCTCTCTGGTCTCTCTCTCTCTGGTCTCTCTCTCTCTGGTCTCTCTCTCTCTGGTCTCTCTCTCTCTCTCCTCTGGTCTCTCTCTCTCTGGTCTCTTCTGGTCTCTCTCTCTGTCTCTCTCTCTCTGGTCTCTCTCTCTCTCTGGTCTCTCTCTCTCTGGTCTCTCTCTCTCTGGTGTCTCTCTCTCTGGTCTCTCTCTCTCTCTGGTGTCTCTCTCTCTGGTCTCTCTCTCTCTGGTCTCTCTCTCTCTGGTCTCTCTCTCTCTGGTCTCTCTCTCTCTGGTGTCTCTCTCTGGTCTCTCTCTCTGGTCTCTCTCTCTCTCTGGTCTCTCTCTCTCTGGTCTCTCTCTCTCTGGTCTCTCTCTCTCTGGTCTCTCTCTCTGGTCTCTTTGCTGCAGTGTGTGTTGTGTGTAATGAGGCTGTTGAACCAGTGGGGGGCGCCTTTCCTTGACTACGGTGTCGCAGCAGGAGGAGCGTCCCATCAGACAGATCCTGTACCTGGGGAACCTGCTGGAGACCTGCCACTTCCAGAGCTTCTGGGTAAACACACATGACCAGTCTCCAGTGTAAATGCCAGGGTTGCCTCGCACTGAGCCAGTTAAAGAGCGACTAAACACCAAATCAACTTTTTTTAACTCATAAACTGCATAAGTATGTTTATTGTAGTGCTGTCTACATATCCTGGTCATTTTAGTTCAAATTAGATAAAATATCACTTTTGAGCCAAAAAACGCTGTGTGGTGCCCTCTCAACCTTTTTGGTGGTACTACATTTGAATTTGGTCCTGGCCTCTCCATTGACTCTGAAGATCTCTTTGACATCAGTTGTTTTGTGTGACGTCAGTCTGTCAGAGCCAGTGATATAAACCCATTCAACTCTCACACACGCCCCAGCTGCAGTCTGGAGTATTCTGGCGCCATCTAGTGGATTAAAATTAAATTACATGAGTCATTCTGAGATTATTGAGTGTGATTAGGTTCAGGTGTGTAGCTTTACAATTATCTTAGTGTGTAAACAAGGGTGGAATGAGACTTTCTGGTCTGTAAACTATTGCTTTAAGCAGCAATGACAACTGTCTGTTTTTTTGTGTGACAAGTCAGCTGTCAATCACAGCCCAGACCACGCCCAACTCTAAGCCCCCCTTCTTGTCCCTTGGTCCTCCAGGCAACACCCTTTTTAGAGAACATTTTCAAATCTTCATGTGGGCGGAGTCAGGCTGGGCACAGGTGTTTAGTCGCTCTTTAAGTGAGACCAGCACAGGGGTGATGTGCTCTGTCCCTGTGAGTCAGTGAAGTGAGACCAGCACAGGGGTGATGTGCTCTGTCCCTGTGAGTCAGTGAAGTGAGGCCAGCACAGGGGTGATGTGCTCTCTCTGTCCCTGTGAGCCAGCACAGGGGTGATGTGCTCTCTCTGTCCCTGTGAGCCAGCACAGGGGTGATGTGTTCTCTGTCCCTGTGAGTTAGATGAAATAAAAAGGTGGGATGTGAACCCTCACTCTGCTCAAGACTTCAGCAGAAGCATGAAGGAGACTCTGTGTTTCTTTAGACTATCGCCAAGTGGCAGCACCAAGCCCCGGCGATCCAAGATGGCGGCGTATTCAAATGAATGGTTGTGCTCAGTGGCGCTCTGTGCCGGCACGGTCGCTGACAGATTAGCGGAACTCTCAAAGATCTATGGGAAACTCTCAAAGGTCTATGAGAAACTCTCAAAGATCTATGGGAAACTCTCAAAGGTCTATGAGAAACTCTCAAAGATCTATGGGAAACTCTCAAAGATCTATGAGAAACTCTCAAAGATCTATGGGAAACTCTCAAAGATCTATGAGAAACTCTCAAAGATCTATGGGAAACTCTCAAAGATCTATGGGAAACTCTCAAAGGTCTATGGGAAACTCTCAAAGATCTATGGGAAACTTTCAAAGATCTATGGGAAACTCTCAAAGATCTGTATTTGGGCATCGTCTGGTCCTCCCGGTTCTGTGCAGTGGATGATCTCCCATAATGCATTGCGTCAAACACGCGTGTGTGGGTCTCACACCGGGTCTCACGCACGTGCACAGAGGGTCTCACGCACGTGCACAGAGGGGCTCGGCTCTGACCAATCAGAGCAGTTCATCAGAGCGTGAGTTAGAGCCAGAGCCAGACGAGCAGAGTTTGTGGCACTAAAGTGTGGATTTAAACAAAACCGAAGGATTTAAGAAGAAAAAAAGTTCAGGACGACAAGGGACACTAACATCCCCACAAAATCTGACCTTTATGAAAGCTGTAGGTTCTCTGTCAGGTTCTCTGCCAGGTTCTCTGTCAGGTTCTCTGTAGGTTCTCTGTCAGGTTCTCTGTCAGGTTCTCTGTCAGCTGAGGTTGAGCTGTTTTAATATGCAGTGAGTTCTATGGGGAACATTTCTGTGTAGCCCACGTGAATTTAGTCTGGTTTAGTCTGGTCCAGTCTGGTTCAGTCTGCAGTACCGCGAGAATCCCCCGAGCACATGAGTTATTCAGCTACAAGCTAGTAACACCCTATCCAGTTAATATTATAGATCCATGGGCAGCACATACAAAGAAAAAAGAGCGGGGCCTAAAATGGAGCCCTGTGGAACACCATGTGAGGCGTGCCAGGCCAGACTTTAGGGCCCAAAGTGGACTGAAAACACCTGTCACCAAGATGGACCTGGACCAGTTAAAAGCAGCGTCGTGCTGTGATCATAACTGTGTCTGCGTATGTGTGTGTGTGTCTGCGTATGTGTGTGTCTGCGTATGTGTGTGTGTGTGTATGTGTGTGTCTGTGTGTCTGTGTGTGTGTGTGTGTGTGTGTATATGTGTGTGTCTGTGTGTGTGTGTGTGTGTCTGCGTGTGTGTGTGTCTGCGTGTCTCTGTGTGTGTGTGTAGACGAGCCTGGAGGAGAACCGCGAGCTGATCGATGACATCACAGGCTTTGAGGACTCCGTGAGGAAGTGTGAGTATGAGGCTGGTGCAGCTTCTGCAGCAGACACTGCTGTCTCTAACTGAGTGTCTTCACAGTCATCTGCCACGTGGTCGGAATCACCTACCAGACCATAGACCGCCGCCTGCTGGCAGAGATGCTGGGAGACCCCCTGGGTATGTGTGTCTGTGTGTGTGTGTCTGTGTGTGTGTCTGTGTGTGTGTGTGTCTGTGTGTGTGTGTGTCTGTGTGTGGGTCTGTCTGTGTGTGTGTGTGTCTGTGTGTGGGTCTGTCTGTGTGTGTGTGTGTGTCTGTCTGTGTGTCTGTCTGTGTGTCTGTGTGTGTGTGTGTCTGTGTGTGTGTGTGTCTGTGTGTGTGTCTGTGTGTGTGTGTCTGTGTATGTGTCTGTGTGTGTGTGTGTCTGTCTGTGTGTGTGTCTGTCTGTGTCTGTGTGTGGGTCTGTCTGTCTGTGTGTGTGTGTGTGTGTCTGTCTGTGTGTCTGTCTGTGTGTGTGTGTGTGTCTGTCTGTGTGTGTGTCTGTTTCTGTGTGTGGGTCTGTGTGTGTGTGTCTGTGTGTGTGTTGCGTGGTTTGTTTCTCACAGAAACCTCCTCGGAAAAAAGTCATGTACAGAATTATGTTTATGTTCAGAAGTTATTATCACAGGTGTGTGTTGATGGTGTGTTGTTGTGTTGCAGAAACACAGGTGTGTGTTAATTGTCTGTGTGTATTGATTGTGTGTTGTTGTGTTGCAGAAACACAGGTGAAGCAGTGGATGAACAAATACAGTTGGACCGAGGATGAAAACGCTCAAGTTTTTGTGTTTAATCAAGAAGAGAGCGTCAAACCCAAGAATATCGTGGAGAAGATCGACTTCGAGAGTGAGTAACAGAGACCCCCAAAGGAGGGCCCCAAAAGAGGGCCCCAGAGGAGGGCCCCAAAAGAGGGCCCCAGAGGAGGGCCCCAAAAGAGGGCCCCAGAGGAGGCCCCCAAAGGAGGGCCCCCAGAGGAGGGCCCCCAGAGGAGGCCCCCAAAGGAGGGCTCTAGAGGAGGGCCCCCAGAGGAGGCCCCCAAAGGAGGGCCCCTGGGGGAGGGAGTTGTTTTTACCTGTATCCTGGTGGAGCCATAAACAACAGTGAACATGTCTGATCTGTGTCACCCTCTGAGGAGATGTCAGTGTTGCAGCGCACAGTTAGAGCAGCAGAATCAAGGGCACACAGATGAAGAACTCTAACATGTCTAACTTGTGTTGCAGGTGTGTCCAGCATCATGGCCACGTCACAGTGACCCCCGACCTCTGACCTTTTCTATTCTGTTCTCTCTGAATAAACAACTTTCACTGTTTGTCTCTGGCTCATGTTTCCACTTCAGGAAAAGACTTTAGTTTATGAGTAAAACTTTAAAGGAAACCGTTTAGAAGTTCATTAAGTTCATGTCTCAGATTAGTCACTTCCTTTAGTTTCTGCAGACGAACAAGAGAAACTCCAGAGTGATGTCACTGTTTCATTAAGTGCAATTAAAGTCTCGTTAAAGTTTGTTTTATTCACTGCCTCCGTCTCGTCTCTGGATTAATCTGTTTTAATGAACGAGGATAAATCTTTTCCTGAGATGTCTTTGGTGACTCATAACAGAACAAACACTTCTGCATAAGACCCGGAGGCCCTGCCCAGAGTCAGGCAGTGGGTGGAGCCAGTTTACCTGCTGCAGTGGGCGGGGCCTGTACCTGTTATAACGCTGCTGTGATCTCCGTCCGCACCTTTGCAGCATGAGCCGCTCTGCTCTGGCCCCGGGCCCGGACAAGGCCGTGATGAGGAAGTCCTCAGACTCCTTTCTCCCGCGGGAGGACGACGAGGACTCGGTGTGTTCAGATGAGCTGCTGGGCTCCCAGTCCCGCAAGTGGCTCACGGACATGCTGAACGAGTTACCGGGAGACTTCCAAGGAGCGGACACGGACACAAAGGGCCGTGACGGACTGTACGTGGACATGCACTTCCCCCTGGGGAAGCTCGAGATGGTCTCCGGAGTCAAGTGGAGGAGACCCCCGGTAAACAGTCCTCTCACGGGTCCCAGACTTTACTGTTTGTCTGTCAGCGTTAGAGCAGAGAAGGGGCCCCCGGGGAAGTCAGAGCAGAAGAGGGGCCCCCGGGACGCGCGCATAGTCCCGGAGACAGAAGGATAGAGTGATACAGTGTGACCTTTATCTGTGTCTTGAGCAGAAACAGCCTCTGGAGCCTCTGCCGCTGCAGAGAAACTTCAAAGTAAATAATTAACAAAATAATGGACCATTGTTTAATCCTGGTTTCTGTAGTTACACAGGTCTGACTTTGTTAAGAAGACTCAGTCTGTTTGACCTTTACAGGAGAAGGCTGACTCTGACCTGCTTTAGACCTGGTTTGGACCTGCTTTAGACCTGCTTTAGACTTACTCTAGACCTGCTTTAGACCTGGTTTGGACCTGCTTTAGACCTGCTTTGGACCTGCTTTAGACCTGCTTTAGACCTGCTTTAGACCTGCTTTAGACCTGACCTGCTTTGGACCTGCTTTAGACCTGCTTTAGACTTACTCTAGACCTGCTTTAGTCCTGCTTTAGACCTGCTTTAGTCCTGCTTTAGACCTGCTTTAGACTTACTCTAGACCTGCTTTAGTCCTGCTTTAGACCTGCTTTAGTCCTGCTTTAGACCTGCTTTAGACTTACTCTAGACCTGCTTTAGTCCTGCTTTAGACCTGCTTTAGTCCTGCTTTAGACCTGCTTTAGACCTGCTTTAGTCCTGCTTTAGACCTGCTTTAGACTTACTCTAGACCTGCTTTAGTCCTGCTTTAGACCTGCTTTAGACTTACTCTAGACCTGCTTTAGACCTGCTTTAGTCCTGCTTTAGACCTGCTTTAGACCTACTCTAGACCTGCTTTAGATCTACTCTGCTGTAGACCTAGTTCGGTCTCGCTGTAAACATGCAAAGTGTGCATCTCCATTTCTTCCTGTTGCGCATTTCCAAAGTGTGCGCGCGTCACTGTTCCTCGTGCACGCGCACAGACGGCGTGATGCAAAAAAGTGTTTGTGCCGCTTTTATTTGAGACAAAGATTTAAGAATTGATTTGTCATTTGAAGTAAAACCACATTGGAATAACTGTCCCAGACCAGGACTGTCCCAGACCAGGACTGTCCCAGACCAGGACTGTCCCAGACCAGGACTGTCCCAGACCAGGGCTGTCCCAGACCAGGACTGTCCCAGACCAGGACTGTCCCAGACCAGGACTGTCCCAGACCAGGACTCTGTGACATGTCCCTCTGTTCTGCAGGAGTTGTGTGCGTCCCCAAAGTTCATTGTGGACGGAGCGTCTCGACTGGACATCTGCCAGGGAGAACTCAGTGAGACACACACACACACACATACAGGAGACACACACACAAGACACACACACAGGAGACACACACATACACACAGGAGACACACACACACATACATACAGGAGACACACACACACATACAGGAGACACACATACATACAGGAGACACACACACAGGAGACACACACACACATACAGGAGACACACACACACACACATACATACAGGAGACACACACACATACAGGAGACACACGCACATGCACACACACACACACATGAGACACCACTACAGTCTATGGTGCTCACAGTGTTACATAAAAAGTACCGTGTACTCAGTACTAAATGTACTTATAAAGTGCTGTGTACTCAGTACTAAATGTACTTATAAAGTGCTGTGTACTCAGTACTAAATGTACTTATAAAGTGCTGTGTACTCAGTACTAAATGTACTTATAAAGTGCTGTGTACTCGGTACTACATGTACTTATAAAGTGCTGTGTACTCAGTACTAAATGTACTTATAAAGTGCTGTGTACTCGGTACTACATGTACTTATAAAGTGCTGTGTACTCAGTACTAAATGTACTTATAAAGTGCTGTGTACTCAGTACTACATGTGCTTATAAAGTGCTGTGTACTCAGTACTAAATGTACTTATAAAGTGCCGTGTACTCAGTACTACCCGCACTAAGTGCTGTGTACTCAGTACTAAATGTACTTATAAAGTGCTGTGTACTCAGTACTAAATGTACTTATAAAGTGCTGTGTACTCAGTACTAAATGTACGTATAAAGTGCTGTCTACTCAGTACTAAATGTACGTATAAAGTGCTGTGTACTCAGTACTAAATGTACTTATAAAGTGCTGTACTCATTACTAAATGTACGTATAAAGTGCCGTGTACTCAGTACTACCCGCACTAAGTGCTGTGTACTCAGTACTACATGTGCTCATAAAGTACTGTGTACTCAGTGTTACTTGTACTTGTACAGATGACTGCTGGCTGCTCTCGGCCATCGCCTCCTTGTCGTTGCACCCAGACCTCTTCCAGAAGGTGGTTCCTCCAGGACAGGACTTCCAGCAGCACTACACCGGCTGCTTCATCTTCAAGGTGAAGACTGTACCTGTACTATCTGTACCTGTAGTATCTGTACCTGTAGTATCTGTGCCTGTAGTATCTGTGCCTGTACTATCTGTACCTGTAGTATCTGTACCTGTAGTATCTGTGTCTGTAGTATCTGTGCCTGTACTATCTGTACCTGTAGTATCTGTACCATCTGTACCTGTACTATCTGTACCTGTAGTATCTGTACCTGTACTATCTGTACCTGTAGTATCTGTACCTGTACTATCTGTACCTGTAGTATCTGTACCTGTACTATCTGTACCTGTACTATCTGTACCTGTACTATCTGTACCTGTAGTATCTGTACCTGTAGTATTAGAAGAAGAGACTGTTTATGACTGTGTTTTAAGGAGACTTTTGTGGTGAACGTTTATGTAGAAACTTTCACATGATTGTTGATTATAAACTGTGTGTGTCATGTGTGTGTCTGTGGGTGTCGCGTGTGTGTTGTCGTGTGTGTGTGTTTGTGTGTGTCTGTGTTGTCGTGTGTGTGTGTCTGTGGGTGTTATCTGTGTGTATGTGTCATGTGTGTTGTTGTGTGTGTGTGTGTGTCAGTTCTGGCAGTATGGGGACTGGGTGGAGGTGTGTGTAGATGACCTTCTGCCTTGTGAGGACCAGAAGCTGCTGTACCTCAGCTCTCCAGAGAAGGACGAGTTCTGGAGCTCTCTGCTGGAGAAGGCCTACGCCAAGTGAGTTCGGACTGGACTGGACCGGACCAGATGAGGGGCAGACCAGGACAGGTGAGGGGCAGACCAGGACCAGGTGAGGTCAGACCAGGACCAGGTGAGGTCAGACCAGAACCAGGTGAGGGGTAGACCAGGACCAGGTGAGGGGCAGACCAGGACCAGGTGAGGGGTAGATCAGGACCAGGTGAGGGGCAGACCAGGACCAGGTGAGAGGCAGACCAGGACCAGGTGAGGGGCAGACCAGGACCAGGTGAGGGGCAGACCAGGACCAGGTGAGGTCAGACCAGGACCAGGTGAGGTCAGACCAGAACCAGGTGAGGGGCAGACCAGGACCAGGTGAGGGGTAGATCAGGACCAGGTGAGGGGCAGACCAGGACCAGGTGAGAGGCAGACCAGGACCAGGTGAGGAGCAGACCAGGACCAGGTGAGGGGCAGACCAGGACCAGGTGAGGTCCCACCAGGACCAGGTGAGGGGCAGACCAGGACCAGGTGAGATCAGACCAGGACTGTGGGAGGGGTTAGACCTGGGATCCTTTACCTCATCACAGAATGAAAAAGTAAAATTTAAGAATTATATATATAATATAATTATATATTATAGTATAATGCATTACTTGTGTGTGTGTCTGTGTGTGTATCTCTGTATCTGTGTGTGTATCTGTGTGTGTGTCTGTGTGTGTGTGGGTTCGTGTCTCTCTCTCTCTCTCTCTCTCTGTGTGTGTGTCTGTGTGCCTTTATGTGTGTGTATCTGTGTGTGTGTGTGTATCTCTGTGCCTTTGTATGTGTGTGTCTCTCTCTCTGTGTATCTGTGTGTATGTGTGTGTCTCTCTCGCTCCCTGTGTGTGGTCTGTGTGTGTGTTTGTGTGTGAGAGTGTGTGTGCGTGTATCTGTGTGTGTATCTCTGTATGTGTGTGTGTCTCTGTGTGTGTGCATATATCTGTGTGTGTGTGTGTGTATCTCTGTATGTGTGTGTGTGTGTGTCTCTCTCTCTGTGTGTGTCTGTGTATCTCTGTGTGTGTGTGTATCTCTGTATGTGTGTGTGTGTGTCTCTGTGTGTGTGTGTGTGTCTCTGTGTGTGTGTGTATCGCTGTGTGTGTCTTTGTGTGTGTATGTCTCTCTGTGTGTGTGTGTTTATCTCTGTGTGTGTGTGTCTCTCTGTGTGTCTGTATGTGTGTGTGTATCTATCTGTGTGTGTCTGTGTGTGTGTGTCTCTTTCTCTTTGTGTGTGTGTCTCTTTCTCTTTGTGTATGTGTCTCTCTGTGTGTGTGTTTATCTGTGTGTGTGTGTGTGTGTAGGTTGAAAGGCGGGTACCGGGCCCTGGACATGGGCTTCCCTCATGAGGCCATGGTGGACATGACGGGGGGCGTGGCCGAGGTCCTGACCGTGAGTGGTTTACCCACAAACCTCAGCGGCTTCCTCCAATCACTGCTTCACAGAGCCCTGATCAACTGTGCCAACTGCCAGGTACACACACAGAGACACACAGATACACACACACACAGATACACACAGCGACACAAACACACACACACAAAGACATACTGATACACACACGCACACACACAGAGATACACATACAGAGAAAGAGACACACACACACACATAAAGACTTTTGGTCCCCACTTGGACATATCTATTAAAAAGATAAGTTTTAGATGAAGCCATCAACTGTAAAGAAACTGTTTGTGTATTTATTTGTTTAGCAACTTTCAATATGCAGTTGTGTGCAGCGTCCAGACTATTAACCCAGCCGTGCACTCGGAGAGCACATACCCCGCCGAGAGCCTGGGTCATCTGGATCACAATACTCCCAAATGTGTGTGTGAAGAAAAGTGATTTGTTTTGAAATAGATAAAAACTCTTTTCACTGTAACTATAAATGTTCAGTGGCTCAGTGCGTAGAGCATTGGCCTTTCAGCCTGAAGGTTGTGGGTTCGACTCCACCACAAGACCGACTTCACGATTCCCACTGATGTCTGCTGTCGTTGTGTCCTTGGGCAAGACACTTAACCCCACTTTGCCTGAAGCCCCCCGCTAAAAGATCTCAGCTCCTGTGGACTCAGTGAGGGGCTGGTGCTCTGACTGCCACCCCCGACCCATAAATGGATTAAGGGGAAGAAAATGGATGGATAATAAATGTTCTATAATTAGATGAAAAAACACAGTAAAACTTTTACTACACATCAATGGAACACACACGTACAGATCCACGTGCACACAGACACACACATACAGACACAGACACACACACACAGACACGTACAGACCCACATGCACACAGACACACACATACAGACACACACACACACACACGTACAGACCCACATGCACACAGACACACACATACAGACACAGACACACACACACACGTACAGACCCACATACACAGACACACACATACAGACAGAGACACACACACACACACACGTACAGACCCACATGCACACAGACACACATACAGACACAGAGACACACACACAGACACAGACACACACACACACACAGAGACACACACACACACACACAGAGACACACACACACAGACACAGACAGACAAACATAGACACACACACACAGACACACGCACACACAGAGACAGACACACACACAGACACACACACACACAGAGACACACACAAAGACACACACCCACAGAGACACACACAGACAGACACACACACACAGACACACACACACACACACAGAGACACATACATTTCAGTAAAACAGTCAGGTGAATGTTGATCAGTAACAGGTGTGGTCTGTACAGGCTCAGACAGCTCTGTGTGTGGAGGCGGGAAGAAAGTAAACTGTGTGTGTGTGTTTACGTATGTGTGTGTTTATGTGTTTGTGTGTGTGTACGTATGTGTGTGTCTGTGTGTGTCTTTCAGGGCCCATTAGAGCAGAAGAACCCCATGGGAATCATGTTCCGACACGCTTACTCACTCACAGCCGTGGAAAAGGTTTGTACACACACTCTCCTTACTGTCAGACTGTTGTAAGAGTACTGTTACTGTCAAACTGTAGTACGAGTACTGTTACTGTCAGACTGTAGAAAGAGTACTGTTACACTGTCAAACTGTAGTAAGAGTACTGTTACTGTCAGACTGTAGTAAGAGTACTGCTACACTGTCAGACTGTAGTAAGAGTACTGTGACACTGTCAGACTGTAGTAAGAGTACTGTTACTGCCAGACTGTAGTAAGAGTACTGTGACACTGTCAGACTGTAGTAAGAGTACTGTGACACTGTCAGACTGTAGTAAGAGTACTGCTACACTGTCAGACTGTAGTAAGAGTACTGTGACACTGTCAGACTGTAGTAAGAGTACTGTGACACTGTCAGACTGTAGTAAGAGTACTGTTACACTGTCAAACTGTAGTAAGAGTACTGTTACTGTCAGACTGTAGTAAGAGTACTGCTACACTGTCATACTGTAGTAAGAGTACTGTTACTGTCAGACTGTAGTAAGAGTACTGTTACACTGTCAAACTGTAGTAAGAGTACTGTTACTGTCCGACTGTAGTAAGAGTACTGCTACACTGTCAGACTGTAGTAAGAGTACTGTTACACTGTCAAACTGTAGTAAGAGTACTGTTACTGTCCGACTGTAGTAAGAGTACTGCTACACTGTCAGACTGTAGTAAGAGTTCTGCTACACTGTCAGACTGTAGTAAGAGTACTGTGACACTGTCAGACTGTAGTAAGAGTACTGTTACACTGTCAAACTGTAGTAAGAGTACTGTTACACTGTCAGACTGTAGTAAGAGTACTGTTACTGTCAGACTGTAGTAAGAGTACTGTGACACTGTCAGACTGTAGTAAGAGTTCTGCTACACTGTCAGACTGTAGTAAGAGTACTGTTACACTGTCAGACTGTAGTAAGAGTACTGCTACACTGTCAGACTGTAGTAAGAGTACTGTTACACTGTCAGACTGTAGTAAGAGTACTGTTACACTGTCAGACTGTAGTAAGAGTACTGCTACACTGTCAGACTGTAGTAAGAGTACTGTTACACTGTCAGACTGTAGTAAGAGTACTGTTACACTGTCAGACTGTAGTAAGAGTACTGTTACACTGTCAGACTGTAGTAAGAGTACTGTTACTGTCAGACTGTAGTAAGAGTACTGTTACACTGTCAGACTGTAGTAAGAGTACTGTTACACTGTCAGACTGTAGTAAGAGTACTGTTACTGTCAGACTGTAGTAAGAGTACTGCTACACTGTCAGACTGTAGTAAGAGTACTGTTACACTGTCAGACTGTAGTAAGAGTACTGTTACTGTCAGACTGTGTAGTAAGAGTACTGCTACACTGTCAGACTGTAGTAAGAGTACTGTTACACTGTCAGACTGTAGTAAGAGTACTGTTACACTGTCAGACTGTAGTAAGAGTACTGTTACACTGTCAGACTGTAGTAAGAGTACTGCTACACTGTCAGACTGTAGTAAGAGTACTGTTACACTGTCAGACTGTAGTAAGAGTACTGTTACACTGTCAGACTGTAGTAAGAGTACTGTTACACTGTCAGACTGTAGTAAGAGTACTGTTACTGTCAGACTGTAGTAAGAGTACTGTTACACTGTCAGACTGTAGTAAGAGTACTGTTACACTGTCAGACTGTAGTAAGAGTACTGTTACACTGTCAGACTGTAGTAAGAGTACTGTTACTGTCAGACTGTAGTAAGAGTACTGCTACACTGTCAGACTGTAGTAAGAGTACTGTTACACTGTCAGACTGTAGTAAGAGTACTGTTACTGTCAGACTGTAGTAAGAGTACTGCTACACTGTCAGACTGTAGTAAGAGTACTGTTACACTGTCAGACTGTAGTAAGAGTACTGTTACTGTCAGACTGTAGTAAGAGTACTGCTACACTGTCAGACTGTAGTAAGAGTACTGTTACACTGTCAGACTGTAGTAAGAGTACTGTTACACTGTCAGACTGTAGTAAGAGTACTGTTACACTGTCAGACTGTAGTAAGAGTACTGTTACACTGTCAGACTGTAGTAAGAGTACTGTTACTGTCAGACTGTAGTAAGAGTACTGTTACACTGTCAGACTGTAGTAAGAGTACTGTTACACTGTCAGACTGTAGTAAGAGTACTGTTACACTGTCAGACTGTAGTAAGAGTACTGTTACTGTCAGACTGTAGTAAGAGTACTGCTACACTGTCAGACTGTAGTAAGAGTACTGTTACACTGTCAGACTGTAGTAAGAGTACTGTTACTGTCAGACTGTAGTAAGAGTACTGCTACACTGTCAGACTGTAGTAAGAGTACTGTTACACTGTCAGACTGTAGTAAGAGTACTGTTACTGTCAGACTGTAGTAAGAGTACTGCTACACTGTCAGACTGTAGTAAGAGTACTGTTACACTGTCAGACTGTAGTAAGAGTACTGTTACTGTCAGACTGTAGTAAGAGTACTGCTACACTGTCAGACTGTAGTAAGAGTACTGTTACACTGTCAGACTGTAGTAAGAGTACTGTGACACTGTCAGACTGTAGTAAGAGTACTGCTACACTGTCAGACTGTAGTAAGAGTACTGTTACACTGTCAGACTGTAGTAAGAGTACTGTGACACTGTCAGACTGTAGTAAGAGTGTCAGGATTTAGCAGACAGAGACGGATCGTGGTGTGCCAAACTCTGGAAGTTTATTTAAGTTTCTCTCAAGTTCCACTGGTTTACTCTGTTTCTTTCTCTCAGACAGAATAAAGGCAGTACACAGTTTATATAGTCATTGTCACGTCACACATGGAAAGACATACGTGTCACAAAGAGACAGTCACATCATAGTCATAACATGGAGTCCTTGTACAGTCCTGCACGTAGGCCATATTGCTATCTAATACTAATACCCTCCCCTTTGATCACATAATCACATGTGATCACTCAAATCGATCAATCAATAAAGTGGAAAAAGAAAAAAAAAAATCTAAAAAAAAAACTTTACAAAATTATTAAAAAACAAAGAAAATGAATGCATTAAACTCATAATCATCCAATCAATATCAGTGGATTTTATCCTCTATCCTGGGAAAAAAACAAAAAAACAAAAATAAAGTAAATAAACAAACACAAAACAAATCAAAAATAAAAACAAACAAACTATTGGACACACAAGAACTCAGCAGATTCAGTCAAAACACAGACAAAAACGAGCTGAGTCTCAAATTTGAAGCTAATTTCACTTTTATTACTCTATACTTTTATTCTAATGCTAATTGTTTACACTACACTTCACTTATTTCACTGTATTATTTTCACTTTTTAATCTTAGACTGTGTACTTTACTTTTACTATTCACTATAGTTTAAAACTATTCTAATCTATTCACAAATATGTTTGCATATTGGCTTCTATTGAGCCATATTCTTAAACTAATTTTAATCTAATAAATCTCTCTGTGGTATTATACTCATTATCAGTTTGGGATGAATGTACATCTTTAATCAAATTGGAACTATCCTTACAAGAGCTAATCTATTTGAGCAGGTTTGGGGTTGGGGTCAGTTATTCTACAATGGTGTTTGTGCTGGAAACTTCTCAATATCTAAATATCTACTATTGTGTTTTTGTGCTATACACAAATACATCAAAATGCTTTTAAATGCTTTTGAATCTCTGTTGGTTGTAATCTATCTCGTTAATATAGGCATTAATCTAGACTACACTCATATGGACTTTTGCATTGTCAACATTCACTCATGTGTGAACACAAGTGAATTTGGCAAGTATCTAATAAAACTGTACATAAACTGTAAGTAACTTTATCTACTTTTGAAGTAAATGCTTGTGAAATGGTCCCTTTACCATTTGATATTAGCACTGGCTACAAATAATCTCTATTTTTGAAAGCATCTATGGTTGATGCATTTATCTATCTCTATTTTTACACTATTGTGACTCCAAAGTTTGGCTGCAGTTTGAGCAAAGGCATATTCCTAATTTGTGACTTCTGTCACTTTTAATATCTCTAAAATACTCTGATTCTAATATTATAGCTGATCTATCAAAAGGATAACATTGTAGGGTACTATTTTAACTCTTACGTGGAAATGTTTATGAAAAACAAAAGAAGGACAATTCTACTTTTTTACTACTATTTAACATCTACTAAAACGCTACAATACTTATACTTTATCATTTTCAAAGTTTTTGTCTGTCAGATGTCTGAATACTTAACATGTATATTGCATTTGGTCACAGGTTCTGGTTGTAGCAATAGCATCGGCAATAGACGTTTTCATTGGCTGGTTCTTGTTCTGCAAATGGCTGTGTCCAATAGATCATCAGATGTCCAGAAGCTAGGGACAAACAAAAACAAAAGAAAGAATCATGAGTATCTCTCTCATTTAGCACTCATCAATGTATGATTTCAAAAATATAAACATCACTCCCCAGTTTTCTCTCTCAGGTCCTCAGGTCCTCAGGGTCCTCTGAGGGTGAGTCTCAGTCGTCATCAGGTCAGGTCATAGAGAGATGTCATCTTGGTCATCAGTAGGGTCCAAGCCATGGTTTTGGTCTCTCCAGATGCACATCAGGATCTCCAGATACAGTCTTTTCACTTGAAGCACATCAGGTCATTTGCGATGCACTTCTGGTCAATGGTGCAGTGTCACAGTTCCTGTACACAGCTTGTTATGCAATAGTTACTCTCTATGGTTAGTCACTTTGATTCTACTTTAACACAATTTCTATTCATGCTGTTGCTAATGTCTCTCAGACAAAAGCAAGCGCAGTTTACTTCTCTAATTTGTGTTTTTATCAGATCTAATTCTAATCAATGTAATTACTTCACACAGTACAAAATCAACAAATCAAAAGTGTCAAGACAGAGGTCAATTATGTCCATGACAATATAGAATTCAAATGAACATTTCTGGTCTCAAAAAATACTGATTAGATACTGACTAGACAATTAAAAATGTGTTTACATTGGAATAAACTTTTAAAATGCTTTTTTCTCATGTTCTGCTTTTTCATGTATCTATATGTAAATGTGAATGTGTGAGTGTATGTGTGTGTGTGTGTGTGTGTGTATGTGAATTTTGGGGTTGTGTCTCCAGACTCCTCAAACCACCTGTAGGTGTCAAAGGTCACACTGTGGTGATGCAAACCAACTGGACACACTTTCAACTGCCTCTAGGTCTCTACCTGACGCTCCACCCATCACTGCCTCCAGAAACCTCCACTTTCATGGCCCCGGTCTCACTCCCACTTACTTCTGTAGTGGGGGGAGGGGCGTAGAGGTGGCATTGTTGCCCTTTGCTCTTTGATCTGTGACCTGTGGCTGGGTGGGCGTTGCGCTGTCCAGTGTCCAGCAGTGACCCTGTACAGTGTGGCAGAGTCTGAAAAACAATCCTTGAGACGGCCAATTTAAAAAACAATAGATATCAGTATGCGAATGAGATTGTTTTTCTCCCTAAAGTCAAAACAATTTTGGAGCGCTCTGGGTTTTCCCAAGCGCTATGTAAATAAAAGATTACTTATTATCTTACTAATGATGACATTTTTAAGACCAGAAACTCTTAATATAAAAAAACAAGACTCAAATCTAAAAAAACCTTTTTAAACTTTAAACTATGTATTATATACTTTTGTACTGTGTGATTAATTATCCATGAACATTTATCTCATCATTTATTTTACTAATTTAAAATAATTGCAGCATTTTTCAAATGAAGTCAGTATGAATTGGAGCACATTTTAGACCAGGCTCCTCTGCTGTGGCATCAGCAACAGTAAGGTCAGGCGTGTAGTCAAAACAAAAACAAAAGTCACCACTTGCAAGGTGAATTGGGTAGTTTAACTTAATAATACTTTTACAGCCTAATTCCCTCTTTCTTTTTAGACTAAGTCTATAATCAATAATCACTTTTAACACAGATTCTAATTTAAATGTTTGAAAAACGGCTTTTGTAACTAAAAAAAAAACATAAAAAAATTCTCACTAACAGCTATGAAATATATCAGAGATGCAATAATGGACTCACAAAATAAGCAGCAGATTTAAAAAGAAAAGCAAAGCTTTTTGTACTAATCTTTGGGTTTCAAAAACATACTAATTCAAAACTTATATTTACTAAATGGTGTTTAAAAACGTTTAACTGTGTCATAACACAAGGTTCAATTGCAAATTTCGCAAATTTAACTGAATAACAACTATGAAAAGCCTAAATCCTAAAAGCAGTAGCTTTGCTCTGATTCAGAGCCAGAGCAGCGAAGGTGGGGGCCGTTTCCCTGACAACGGCAGCAAGATAGTGCGACGCACACAGGCAGAAAACTTTCAAGATTACTTTGCTAAGCAAATATAACCTAGCTCAGACCGAAGCCCTGCTCAGACTGAAGACCTGCTCAGACCTCAGACCGAAGTCCTACTCAGACTGAAGACCTGCTCAGAACTCAGACCTGCTCAGACCGAAGCCCTGCTCAGACCGAAGACCGAAGTCCTACTCAGACTGAAGACCTGCTCAGACCTCAGACCGAAGCCCTGCTCAGACCGAAGCCCTGCTCACACCTCTGTGATGTCTCCATAGAGTGAGTGTATGTTTTCGATTCAATCCAATATATTTGTGGACAGCTCTAAGTCGTCTGTGATTCCTCAACAGCAGATCAGAGAAACAGTTTGAACATACAGTAGGTAACACATAGAGCCTTTGTGTGTCTGTTTGTGTGTGTGTGTGTGTGTGTGTGTGTGTGTGTGTGTCTGTGTGTGTGTTTGTCTGTGCATAAGAGAACATTGTGTTGTAGACGAGAGAGACTGGAGGTTCTCAGGGTGTGTAGACTTATGTGATGCAGAGTCCAGACCTTGTAGACGTCGCCATAGGTGCCCCCTCCCACTCGCTGGAGGAGGTGGTAGTCCTCTTCTGGGTTCCTGGTGGAGATGTGAAGGGCAGCACGGTGCTGGAGGTCCATCTGTGTGTGTGTGTGTGTGTGTGTGTGTGTCTGTGTGTGTGAGAGTTTCCTGTTTGCCTGGGCCTGCCTCACCCTCGGCTGCTCTGGGTTTCCTGTGGGGGGAGGGGGGCGGGGAGCAGCAGGTGCACACAGCCACAGAAATGTGGACTCGTCACTTTTGACTTGAGACTCACACTTTCAGAAGGAAGAGAGCAACACAAGTCTCTGCAGCACTGAGTGTGAGCGGAGGCTGCGGAGGTTTGAGTCTGTTTCAGGACAATCCTAAACAAATCTTTAAAAGACTTTAAACAAATCTTTAAAAGACTTTAAACAAATCTTTAAAAGACTTTAAACAAATCTTTAAAAGACTTTAAAGATTTTGATTTAAAGCGGCTCATGACTGGAATAATCTGCCCATGGAACACACTCTGAACCATAAAGACACACACTCTGAACCATAAAGACACACACTCTGAACCATAAAGACACACACTCTGAACCATAAAGACACACACTCTGAACCATAAAGACACACACTCTGAACCATAAAGACACACACTCTGAACCATAAAGACACACACTCTGAACCATAAAGACACACACTCTGAACCATAAAGACACACACTCTGAACCATAAAGACACACACTCTGAACCATAAAGACACACACTCTGAACCATAAAGACACACACTCTGAACCATAAAGACACACACTCTGAACCATAAAGACACACATACACACACTCTGAACCATAAAGACACACACTCTGAACCATAAAGACACACACTCTGAACCATAAAGACACACACTCTGAACCATAAAGACACACACTCTGAACCATAAAGACACACACTCTGAACCATAAAGACACACACTCTGAACCATAAAGACACACACTCTGAACCATAAAGACACACATACACACACTCTGAACCATAAAGACACACACTCTGAACCATAAAGACACACACTCTGAACCATAAAGACACACACTCTGAACCATAAAGACACACACTCTGAACCATAAAGACACACACATAACATAACACACTCTGAACCATAAAGACACACACTCTGAACCATAAAGACACACACTCTGAACCATAAAGACACACACACCACTGAACCATAAAGACACACACTCTGAACCATAAAGACACACATAAAGCACACTCTGAACCATAAAGACACACACTCTGAACCATAAAGACACACACTCTGAACCATAAAGACACACACTCTGAACCATAAAGACACACACTCTGAACCATAAAGACACACACTCTGAACCATAAAGACACACATACACACACTCTGAACCATAAAGACACACACTCTGAACCATAAAGACACACACTCTGAACCATAAAGACACACACTCTGAACCATAAAGACACACACTCTGAACCATAAAGACACACACTCTGAACCATAAAGACACACACTCTGAACCATAAAGACACACACTCTGAACCATAAAGACACACATACACACACTCTGAACCATAAAGACACACACTCTGAACCATAAAGACACACACTCTGAACCATAAAGACACACACTCTGAACCATAAAGACACACACTCTGAACCATAAAGACACACACTCTGAACCATAAAGACACACACTCTGAACCATAAAGACACACACTCTGAACCATAAAGACACACACTCTGAACCATAAAGACACACACTCTGAACCATAAAGACACACACTCTGAACCATAAAGACACACACTCTGAACCATAAAGACACACACTCTGAACCATAAAGACACACACTCTGAACCATAAAGACACACACTCTGAACCATAAAGACACACACTCTGAACCATAAAGACACACATACACACACTCTGAACCATAAAGACACACACTCTGAACCATAAAGACACACACCCTGAACCATAAAGACACACACTCTGAACCATAAAGACACACACTCTGAACCATAAAGACACACACTCTGAACCATAAAGACACACATACACACACTCTGAACCATAAAGACACACACTCTGAACCATAAAGACACACATACACACACTCTGAACCATAAAGACACACACTCTGAACCATAAAGACACACACTCTGAACCATAAAGACACACACTCTGAACCATAAAGACACACACTCTGAACCATAAAGACTCACACTCTGAACCATAAAGACTCACACTCTGAACCATAAAGACACACACTCTGAACCATAAAGACACACACTCTGAACCATAAAGACACACACTCTGAACCATAAAGACACACACTCTGAACCATAAAGACACACATACACACACTCTGAACCATAAAGACACACACTCTGAACCATAAAGACTCACACTCTGAACCATAAAGACACACACTCTGAACCATAAAGACACACACTCTGAACCATAAAGACTCACACTCTGAACCATAAAGACACACACTCTGAACCATAAAGACACACACTCTGAACCATAAAGACACACACTCTGAACCATAAAGACACACATACACACACTCTGAACCATAAAGACACACACTCTGAACCATAAAGACACACACCCTGAACCATAAAGACACACACTCTGAACCATAAAGACACACACTCTGAACCATAAAGACTTACACTCTGAACCATAAAGACACACACTCTGAACCATAAAGACACACACTCTGAACCATAAAGACACACACTCTGAACCATAAAGACACACACTCTGAACCATAAAGACACACATACACACACTCTGAACCATAAAGACACACACTCTGAACCATAAAGACACACACCCTGAACCATAAAGACACACACTCTGAACCATAAAGACACACACTCTGAACCATAAAGACTTACACTCTGAACCATAAAGACACACACTCTGAACCATAAAGACACACACTCTGAACCATAAAGACACACACTCTGAACCATAAAGACACACATACACACACTCTGAACCATAAAGACACACACTCTGAACCATAAAGACTCACACTCTGAACCATAAAGACACACACTCTGAACCATAAAGACACACACTCTGAACCATAAAGACACACACTCTGAACCATAAAGACACACATACACACACTCTGAACCATAAAGACACACACTCTGAACCATAAAGACACACACTCTGAACCATAAAGACACACACTCTGAACCATAAAGACACACACTCTGAACCATAAAGACACACACCCTGAACCATAAAGACACACACTCTGAACCATAAAGACACACACTCTGAACCATAAAGACACACACTCTGAACCATAAAGACACACACTCTGAACCACTAATGTGTCACATTAGTGTGAGTTTGCCTGACTCTATGGTTACAGTGTAGCCAGTGTCGCCTCCATCAGGTGTCCCCCAGGGTTCGGTGCTCGGTCCATTGATTTTCTCCATCAACATTCTGTAAATAACAAAGGTTTCTGTGCGTATTTGTCAAGTGGAGTTTGCATCTTCTCCCCGTGCCTGAGTAGGTTTCCTCCAGGTGCTACGGTTTCCCCCACCACTAAAACATGCACAATAATCTAATGAGTGTATGGAGGCGTTTGGTCGGAGGCTTTGATGGACCAGTGTGTTCTGGTCTCGCACAGACAGATGTAAAAGTTCACTGCTGAAGGGTTCTGTTGGTGCAGGACCTCGGAGCTCACGGCCACAGAAACTCAAACACATCCTGAACAACATCATGTGACTCACACTGATCTACTACTGTTTAATGTTAGAATAAACCCACAGGGAAATGTCAGTGTTGCATCGCTGCAGTAGAATGAGGAGCAGAAACAGGAAGATAAGTTTAGATAGAGTTTATTGATCTCTGATGGAGAAATGTCACATCATGGATAGAATCCTCAGATTGTGCAAAGACAGAAATCAAAGGAAGGTTTCTCATCCATCATCTGTACTTCTTAGAAAGTTTTCCCGACGTTTCGTCCTCAAACCAAAGGACTTCTTCAGGGAATGAATTCTCAGACCTCGCGTTGGAGATTTATAACCTAATCCTGATACTAACTCATAAACAATCTAAGGTCTGATGTAGAAGGGAGCAGGTCTAACGACCCTAACTCATTAGCATGTCACTGACCTTGTCCCAAGTTAGGCCGTTGTTTTTAGGATGTCGTCATATAACTTGGGACAAAGTCAGTGACATGCTAATGAACAAAGTAATGTTTAGCTATGGCAATAACTATGGAAAATGTAAAATATGAAGGTAATTAAAATGTACCTAACAGGTTTGAGAGGAATAGCATAGTCATGGTCAGCCCTGGCAGCTCTTCCTCGCTCTGAGCTGTTCCCACAGAGTCTTCCTCCTCACGGAGATTGACCAGTTTTAGCACTTACCAAAAGTGAGTAAAGGTAGAAAAAACCAAAACTGTTACAACTTTTTATAAATCTGGTGAAAAACGTCACTTTTTTGTGTAAAAGCTTAATTTTAAAACTATATTTGTCTGGTGTTATGTATTTTGCATTGTGTATGACGTTCGTGATGCGGCCAGCAGGGGGCAGCAGACACACGCGCTTCACTGGTCTCACACTTTTATCGCTCCGCCGCTGTCTTCCGGTCTCTTTGACGGCTGCTCACCCACCGTTCCTCCCGGTCCTGGATGCTCCATCACACGTGTGGCTTTAATCGGACTAAAACATCTAAAAGAAAAGACAGAAATGGCGTCATCTTTTGAGCAAATGAGAGCGAACGTTGGGAAACTGCTCCGAGGCATCGACAGGTTCGCTCCCGCTGTGCTCCTGTGCCTGATGTTATGCTAACGCTAGGCTAGGCTAGGCTAACATCATAGCTAAAAAGTGTTCTTTAAATCTTGTTATGGAAAATGCAAAGTGCAAATGGAAGAGCTTGTTGTTTGTGCCAAAAATAGAGACACATTTTGCCGCTAAATCATTCAAATAATTTACTTCAAAAATTATTTTATAGAATCAAATAATCATCAGAGGTAAACATCAGTCATTCCAAACAGAGACAAGACTCTTTGAACAAAAAGAACAGGACAAAAGCAGTAACACAACAATCACCAAACCACACGTTCAGACAAACAAACACAACCCTGGACTCTTCTGAAATGTATTCTCTTAGTTTGATGTTCTGCACAAACCTTTCCTTCTACTCTTTATCTTAAACAACACAGGATTTCACTGAATGACTTTTATTCATTCATTTCAATGAGTCTCCTCAAAGTCCACAGCATCTGAACTAACCTGACACTTACAGAACTGTTCATTTATGAGTTAGTCTTAAACGTCTGAATGACACTGGATGTCTAAAAATGGCAAATCAACAACAAAAACAAATTATATCAACTAAAAAAAGTAAAGTTGTAACTTGTGAATGAGTCTTGAAGCTAAAATAACTTCAACATCTCCACAGTATCTCTCACTGATCTATTATTCAGATGTAAATAATGTGTTTTAGCTTTTCTTCCATTCTCATCTCACTTGAAACATGTTATTGTTGCGTAATGACTTGACAGTTGGATAATAAGGAGTTAGTTGTTGTTCCAGGCGTGTATGAGACCACAGTGTGATGCTCTGGCACGGTGGCTGAGTGGATAGCACTCTCGCCTCTCAGCAAGAAGGTCCTGGGTTCGAATCCCGGTCGGACCAGGGCCTTTCTGAGTGGAGTTTGCATGTTCTCCCCGTGTCTGCGTAGGTTTCCTCCGGGTACTCCGGTTTCCCCTACCACTAAAAATATGTCCAATAGTTCTGGCGCCTCCTGTACTGGCCCTGCTCCCATCTCTGTGTGGAGTGAGAGACAAGTGCCCAAAATTAACAATTGTAAACCGCTTTGAGACTCAGATCTGCAGTGAAAAGGCGGTATATAAATAAAAACTTACTTACTTACTTACTTACTCTGGTGTCGTGTGCAGGTATAACCCAGAGAACCTGGCCACACTGGAGCGATACGTGGAGACCCAGGCCCGAGAGAACGCCTACGACCTGGAGGCCAACCTGGCCATCCTCAAACTGTACGTCTCTGCTACTATCCATTTATTTGGGAGATATAAGAGGAACAATGTCTAAGGATTATTTAACAAGTGTAAATATGCCAGACTATAAGCACACAGATTATATTCAGGACTGATCGAGTGCTTTAGGTTTTGTCAACACATAATTCTTTTGAAATGTTGGATTATAAAACTGGATTCAAACCAGGCAGGTCCAAACTGGGCCAAATCCCACTCTGTCCTTGTATGTTGACTTCTCCTGCCAACACAAACCATTGAGACACTAATTCATAATGTCATCCAGCCAACTTCAGCTCCACCAATTGATATGTTGTACTTTGGTGTAAAGCTCTTTGGAGTCTTTCTTTGTTTATACTGCCATCTGTTTTGGATTGCGTTACAAAATTCTGTTCAGAACAATCAGAGTAGCCCAGATTAGAAAAGCCAAAATCCAGTCCAGACAGTTTTATGATCCCTGTTGAACCATTGGGGTCCTCCTCTTAAAGGCTGGACCCCTGGAATCACAGAATTAAACCAAAATGAATCTAAATGTCTCAGAAGAAGCAAGCGTCCGCACTGGTCTCTCTCTGGTCTCTCTCTGGTCTCTCTCTGGTCTCTCTCTGGTCTCTCTCTGGTCCCTCTCTGGTCTCTCTCTGGTCTCTCTCTCTCTCTGGTCTCTCTCTGGTCTCTCTCTGGTCTCTCTCTGGTCTCTCTCTGGTCTCTCTCTGGTCTCTCTCTGGTCTCTCTCTGGTCTCTCTCTGGTCTCTCTCTGGTCTCTCTCTCTGGTCTCTCTCTGGTCTCTCTCTGGTCCCTCTCTGGTCTCTCTCTGGTCTCTCTCTCTCTCTGGTCTCTCTCTGGTCTCTCTCTGGTCTCTCTCTGGTCTCTCTCTGGTCTCTCTCTGGTCTCTCTCTGGTCTCTCTCTGGTCTCTCTCTGGTCTCTCTCTGGTCCCTCTCTGGTCTCTCTCTGGTCTCTCTCTCTCTCTGGTCTCTCTCTGGTCTCTCTCTGGTCCCTCTCTGGTCTCTCTCTGGTCTCTCTCTCTCTCTGGTCTCTCTCTGGTCTCTCTCTGGTCTCTCTCTGGTCTCTCTCTGGTCTCTCTCTGGTCTCTCTCTGGTCTCTCTCTGGTCTCTCTCTGGTCTCTCTCTGGTCCCTCTCTGGTCTCTCTCTGGTCTCTCTCTCTCTCTGGTCTCTCTCTGGTCTCTCTCTGGTCCCTCTCTGGTCTCTCTCTGGTCTCTCTCTCTCTCTGGTCTCTCTCTGGTCTCTCTCTGGTCTCTCTCTGGTCTCTCTCTGGTCTCTCTCTGGTCTCTCTCTGGTCTCTCTCTGGTCTCTCTCTGGTCTCCTCTCTGGTCTCTCTCTGGTCTCTCTCTGGTCTCTCTCTGGTCTCTCTCTGGTCTCTCTGGTCTCTCTCTGGTCTCTCTCTGGTCTCTCTCTGGTCTCTCTCTGGTCTCTCTCTGGTCTCTCTCTGGTCTCTCTCTGGTCTCTCTCTCTCTGGTCTCTCTCTGGTCTCTCTCTGGTCTCTCTCTGGTCTCTCTCTGGTCTCTCTCTGGTCTCTCTCTGGTCTCTCTCTGGTCTCTCTCTGGTCTCTCTCTGGTCTCTCTCTGGTCTCTCTCTGGTCTCTCTCTCTGGTCTCTCTCTGGTCTCTCTCTGGTCTCTCTCTGGTCTCTCTCTGGTCTCTCTCTGGTCTCTCTCTGGTCTCTTTTTGGTCTCTCTCTTGGGCTCTCTTTGGGCTCTCTCTGGTCTCTCTCTGGTCTCTCTCTGGTCTCTCTCTGGTCTCTCTCTCTGGTCTCTCTCTCTGGTCTCTCTCTGGTCTCTCTCTGGTCTCTCTCTGGTCTCTCTCTGGTCTCTCTCTGGTCTCTCTCTTGGTCTCTCTCTGGTCCCTCTCTGGTCTCTCTCTGGTCTCTCTCTGGTCTCTCTCTCTGGTCTCTCTCTGGTCTCTCTCTGGTCTCTCTCTGGTCTCTCTCTGGTCTCTCTCTGGTCTCTCTCTGGTCTCTTTTTGGTCTCTCTTTGGGCTCTGTGTTTCATTTAGTCTACTTTAGCTTCCTTTAGTCTCCCTTGTGGTGCTTTCAGACCGGCAACGCTGAAACGCAAATTCTCTAGTTTTCAGACCAGAGGTCTTGGCCGGAAGTGGCGGAAGTAGCCGGCGGGCTCTGATGCTAACAGAGTTTAGCTAGCAGCTTCTGTAAAGATCTTCTCCAATAATGCAGCTCTGCAGCGTCTCTGTGTCTGAGACCTTCAGACTTTATATAACAGCAGTATATGTTCACGGAGGTGACTTTATATAACAGCAGTATGTGTTCACGGAGGTGACTTTATATAACAGCAGTATGTGTTCACGGAGGTGACTTTATATAACAGCAGTATGTGTTCACAGTGACTTTATATAACAGCAGTATGTGTTCACGGAGGTGACTTTATATAACAGCAGTATGTGTTCACGGAGGTGACTTTATATAACAACAGTATGTGTTCACGGAGGTGACTTTATATAACAGCAGTATGTGTTCACGGAGGTGACTTTATATAACAGCAGTATGTGTTCACGGTGACTTTATATAACAGCAGTATGTGTTCACGGTGACTTTATATAACAGCAGTATGTGTTCACGGTGACTTTATATAACAGCAGTATGTGTTCACGGAGGTGACTTTATATAACAGCAGTATGTGTTCACAGAGGTGACTTTATATAACAGCAGTGTGTTCACAGAAGTGACTTTATATAACAGCAGTATGTGTTCACGGAGGTGACTTTATATAACAGTAGTATGTGTTCACGGAGGTGGCTTTATACAACAGCAGTATGTGTTCACGGAGGTGACTTTATATAACAGTAGTATGTGTTCACGGTGACTTTATATAACAGCAGTATGTGTTCACGGAGGTGACTTTATATAACAGCAGTGTGTGTTCACGGAGGCGACTTTATATAACAGCAGTATGTGTTCACAGAGGTGACTTTATATAACAGCAGTGTGTTCACAGAAGTGACTTTATATAACAGCAGTATGTGTTCACGGAGGTGACTTTATATAACAGTAGTATGTGTTCACGGAGGTGACTTTATATAACAGCAGTATGTGTTCACGGAGGCGACTTTATATAACAGCAGTATGTGTTCACAGAGGTGACTTTATATAACAGCAGTGTGTTCACAGAAGTGACTTTATATAACAGCAGTATGTGTTCACGGAGGTGACTTTATATAACAGTAGTATGTGTTCACGGAGGTGGCTTTATACAACAGCAGTATGTGTTCACGGAGGTGACTTTATATAACAGTAGTATGTGTTCACGGGTGACTTTATATAACAGCAGTATGTGTTCACGGAGGTGACTTTATATAACAGCAGTGTGTTCACAGAAGTGACTTTATATAACAGCAGTATGTGTTCACGGAGGTGACTTTATATAACAGCAGTATGTGTTCACGGTGACTTTATATAACAGCAGTATGTGTTCACGGAGGTGACTTTATATAACAGCAGTATGTGTTCACGGAGGCGACTTTATATAACAGCAGTATGTGTTCACAGAGGTGACTTTATATAACAGCAGTGTGTTCACAGAAGTGACTTTATATAACAGCAGTATGTGTTCACGGAGGTGACTTTATATAACAGTAGTATGTGTTCACGGAGGTGGCTTTATACAACAGCAGTATGTGTTCACGGAGGTGACTTTATATAACAGCAGTATGTGTTCACGGAGGTGACTTTATATAACAGTAGTATGTGTTCACGGTGACTTTATATAACAGCAGTATGTGTTCACGGAGGTGACTTTATATAACAGCAGTGTGTTCACAGAAGTGACTTTATATAACAGCAGTATGTGTTCACGGAGGTGACTTTATATAACAGCAGTATGTGTTCACGGTGACTTTATATAACAGCAGTATGTGTTCACGGAGGTGACTTTATATAACAGCAGTATGTGTTCACGGAGGTGGCTTTATATAACAGCAGTATGTGTTCACGGAGGTGACTTTATATAACAGCAGTATGTGTTCACGGAGGTGACTTTATATAACAGCAGTATGTGTTCACGGAGCTGACTTTATATAACAGCAGTATGTGTTCACGAAGGTGACTTTATATAACAGCAGTATGTGTTCACGGAGGTGACTTTATATAACAGCAGTATGTGTTCACGGAGGTGACTTTATATAACAGCAGTATGTGTTCACGGAGGTGACTTTATATAACAGCAGTATGTGTTCACGGAAGTGCGCCATAAGTTTATTTTTTTATTAAACGGTGCTTCTGCATCAAGAACACACTCGAAGCAGTTGCATAAAGTCATGGGAGCATGAAAAGAAGCATTATGTCCCCCATTGTCAACCCTGGTTTAGTCCTGGTTTAGTCCTGGTTTAGTCCTGTTTTGGCGGTTTACAGTATTTTCAGTCTGCTCGCTCAGACCGCTAATGTCCCTGTGACCACTTTGCAGCTCTCTGATTGGTCGCTGCACGAGCGTCCCGTAAAGATTTAGCAAAATCCTTCTCCTGCTCCTCCCCTTCGACTTCCCAGCGCGGTCTGTGCATTCAGAGACGTCACCTTTGACTTTGCAGTGAAAGCCGACGCAACGCATGATCCGGTCTGAACGCCCCATTAGCCTCCTTTAGTCTCCTTTAGTCTGCTTTAGTCTGCTTCAGCCTCCTTTAGTCTGCTTTAGCCTCCTTTAGTCTGCTTTAGCCTCCTTTAGTCTGCTTTAGCCTCCTTTAGTCTGCTTTAGCCTCCTTCAGTCTGCTTTAGCCTCCTTCAGTCTGCTTTAGCCTCCTTCAGTCTGCTTTAGCCTCCTTTAGTCTCCTTTAGTTTCCCTCAGCCTCCTCCTGGTTCCACCCCTGGTTCCACCCCTGGTTCGACCTCTGGTTCCACCCCTGGTTCCACCCCTGGTTCCACCCCTGGTTCCACCTCTGGTTCCACCCCTGGTTCCACCCCTGGTTCCACCCCTGGTTCCACCCCTGGTTCCACCCCTGGTTCCACCTCTGGTTCCACCCCTGGTTCCACCTCTGGTTCCACCCCTGGTTCCACCCCTGGTTCCACCTCTGGTTCCACCCCTGGTTCCACCCCTGGTTCCACCTCTGGTTCCACCCCTGGTTCCACCCCTGGTTCCACCTCTGGTTCCACCTCTGGTTCCACCTCTGGTTCCACCTCTGGTTCCACCTCTGGTTCCACCTCTGGTTCCTCTGTTGCAGTGAGCCAGGTGGCCTTCTCTGCAGCTCTGGGTCGGAGCTTTGGGCCTTTTAACTTTGACACTACACTGGTCTACAGACATGTGGTCACCAACACTGGGAACGCCTACGACTCAGACACAGGTGTGTATGTTGTGTGTATGTTGTGTGTATGTTGTGTATAATGTTGTGTGTAATGTTGTGTGTATGTTGTGTGTAATGTGTGTAATGTTATGTGTAATGTTGTGTGTATGTTGTGTGTAATGTTGTGTGTAACGTTGTGTGTAATGTTGTGAGTATGTTGTGTGTAATGTTGTGAGTATGTTGTGTGTAATGTTATGAGTATGTTGTGTGTAATGTTGTGTGTTATGTTGTATGTAATGTTGTGTGTATGTTGTGTGTAACGTTGTGTGTAATGTCTGTAATGTTGTGTGTTATGTTGTGTATAATGTTGTGTGTATGTTGTGTGTAACGTTGTGTGTAACGTTGTGTGTAACGTTGTGTGTAATGTTGTGTGTAATGTTGTGAGTAATGTTGTGTGTAATGTTGTGAGTATGTTGTGTGTAATGTTGTGTGTTATGTTGTGTGTAATGTTGTGTGTATGTTGTGTGTAATGTGTGTAATGTTATGTGTAACGTTGTGTGTAACGTTGTGTGTTATGTTGTGTGTGATGTGTGTATGTTGTGTGTAATGTGTGTAACGTTGTGTGTAATGTTGTGTGTAATGTTGTGAGTAATGTTGTGTGTAATGTTGTGAGTATGTTGTGTGTAATGTTGTGTGTTATGTTGTATGTAATGTTGTGTGTATGTTGTGTGTAACGTTGTGTGTAATGTCTGTAATGTTGTGTGTTATGTTGTGTGTAATGTTGTGTGTATGTTGTGTGTAACGTTGTGTGTAACGTTGTGTGTAACGTTGTGTGTAATGTTGTGTGTAATGTTGTGAGTAATGTTGTGTGTAATGTTGTGTGTATGTTGTGTGTAATGTGTGTAATGTTATGTGCAACGTTGTGTGTAACGTTGTGTGTTATGTTGTGTGTGATGTGTGTATGTTGTGTGTAATGTGTGTAACGTTGTGTGTAATGTTGTGTGTAATGTTGTGAGTAATGTTGTGTGTAATGTTGTGAGTATGTTGTGTGTAATGTTGTGAGTATGTTGTGAGTAATGTTGTGTGTAATGTTGTGAGTATGTTGTGTGTAATGTTGTGAGTATGTTGTGTGTAATGTTGTGTGTAATGTTGTGTGTAGCGTTGTGTGTAACGTTGTGTGTAATGTGTGTATGTTGTGTGTAACCTTGTGTGTAATGTGTGTAATTTTGTGTGTAATGTGTATAATGTTTTATGTTGTGTGTAATGTTGTGAGTATGTTGTGTGTAATGTTGTGTGTATGTTGTGTGTAATGTTGTGTGTAACGTTGTGTGTTATGTTGTGTGTAATTTTGTGTGTAATGTTGTGAGTATGTTGTGTGTAATGTTATGAGTATGTTGTGTGTAATGTTGTGTGTTATGTTGTATGTAATGTTGTGTGTATGTTGTGTGTAACGTTGTGTGTAATGTGTGTAATGTTGTGTGTAATGTTCTGTGTAACGTTGTGTGTAACGTTGTGTTTAACGTTGTGTGTAATGTTGTGAGTATGTTGTGTGTAATGTTGTGAGTATGTTGTGTGTGATGTTGTGAGTATGTTGTGTGTGTAATGTTGTGTGTAATGTGTGTAATGTTGTGTGTATGTTGTGTGTAACGTGTGTAATGTGTGTAATGTTGTGTGTTATGTTGTGTGTAATGTTGTGTGTAACGTTGTGTGTAACGTTGTGTGTAATGTGTGTATGTTGTGTGTAACCTTGTGTGTAATGTGTGTAATGTTGTGTGTAATGTGTGTAATGTTGTGTGTAATGTTGTGAGTATGTTGTGTGTAATGTTGTGTGTATATTGTGTGTAATATGTGTAATGTTGTGTGTATGTTGTGTGTAATGTTGTGTGTAATGTGTGTAATGTTGTGTGTAACGTTGTGTGTTATGTTGTGTGTAATTTTGTGTGTAATGTTATGAGTATGTTGTGTGTAATGTTGTGAGTATGTTGTGTGTAATGTTATGAGTATGTTGTGTGTAATGTTGTGAGTATGTTGTGTGTAATGTTGTGAGTATGTTGTGTGTAATGTTATGAGTATGTTGTGTGTAATGTTGTGTGTATGTTGTGTGTAATGTGTGTAATGTTGTGTGTAACGTTGTGTGCTATGTTGTGTGTAATTTTGTGTGTAATGTTGTGAGTATGTTGTGTGTAATGTTGTGAGTATGTTGTGTGTAATGTTATGAGTATGTTGTGTGTAATGTTGTGTGTAGTGTTGTGTGTAATGTTATGAGTATGTTGTGTGTAATGTTATGAGTATGTTGTGTGTAATGTTATGAGTATGTTGTGTGTAATGTTGTGTGTATGTTGTGTGTAATGTGTGTAATGTTGTGTGTAACGTTGTGTGTTATGTTGTGAGTATGTTGTGTGTAATGTTGTGAGTATGTTGTGTGTAATGTTGTGTGTCATGTTGTGAGTATGTTGTGTGTAATGTTGTGAGTATGTTGTGTGTAATGTTGTGTGTAATGTTGTGTGTAACGTTGTGTGTAGTGTTGTGTGTAATATTGTGTGTAACATTGTGTGTAATGTTGTGTGTATGTTGTGTGTAACGTTGTGTGTATTTTGTGTGTAACGTTGTGTGTATGTTGTGTGTAACGTTGTGTGTAATGTTGTGTGTATGTACCCGTGAGAACTGCTCACAAAGGATCACATAAAAAAACGTATCAAAATACATTTGTGTGTTTATGAAAATAAAAGTACACAATAAAGAAACGAACCTGGTGAGCACACTTCCACGAGGGGCTAATGGCTCAACTTGGCCTCAAAACACACTGCTTTCGTCTCAGTGTCTACTTAAATACAAAACATACATTAACATCTTGTTACTCGAGATATTATTGTACAATTATTAACATTTTATGGATTTTACCCATGGATCTATAATATTAACTGGATAGGGTGTTACTAGCTTGTAGCTGAATAACTCATGTGCTCGGGGGATTCTCGCGGTACTGCAGACTGAACCAGACTGAACCAGACTGAACCAGACTGAATTCACGTGGGCTACACAGACATTTTCCCCATAGGACTCACTGCATATTAAAACAGCTCAACTTCAGCTGACAGAGAACCTGACAGAGAACCTGACAGAGAACCTACTGTACAGAGAACCTACAGAGAACCTGACAGAGAACCTACAGCTTTAAAGCTGCACTAACTGACTTTGGGATTTTGAAGCCGTGGACCCGCTGGCCTCTCTCTTTCTGCTCCCCTCCCCGCACCCACGAAGCTATCGCCCCCCACACACACAGTGTTGGGACGGAGCTAGTGTCTCTCAATATGGATAATACATGGATATGGATTTGCACGTGGATGGCGTGACCATAGAACGATAGAACCGGGAAGTGCGGAGGAACGGGACTTTCTTTTGGATGGCTGTCTTGCTGTGTAAGCAGTAACCGGTGACGAAGACACACAAAGCTTCAGGTTAGCTCCTCGGCTTGTTGTGCTAACTCAGCCGTCTGTGCTAACGGACCTGTAGATTTCTCACGAAAGTGGGGGCCAGTGGTGCGCTGCTATTGGTCACAATCCGCGACCCGAAACACATTCTCTTCCTTGTTTCATCAAAACTCGATCTAAAATATAATTTCACGCCAGCACAAATCTGCGCTACTTTTTCTTCAAAATGATGTATATCCCAATGCACTACATGGACATGGATAGCATTTTCGTAATGAATACAAAAATGAAGTCAGTTAGTGCAGCTTTAATAAAGGTCAGATTTTGTGGGGATGTTAGTGTCCCTTGTCGTCCTGAACTTTTTTTCTTCTTAAATCCTTCGGTTTTGTTTAAATCCACACTTTAGTGCCACAAACTCTGCTCGTCTGGCTCTCGCTCTAACTCACGCTCTGATGAACTGCTCTGATTGGTCAGAGCCGAGACCCTCTGTGCACGTGCGTGAGACCCGGTGTGAGACCCACACACGCGTATCTGGCGCAATGCATTATGGGAGATCATCCACTGCACAGAACCGGGAGGACCAGACGATGCCCAAATACAGGAGAGTTTCCCATAGACCTTTGCGAGTTTCAGGCAACTTCCGCTAATCTTTCAGCCCCCATGCCGTCACAAAGCGCCACCGAGCACAACCATTCATTTGAATAGGGCGCCATCTTGAATCGCCGGGGCTTGATTTTACCTGAGACCGGAAAAACGCTGCAGTCTATGGCGCTAAATTGGCTGAGTACGCACTGAATTGGGGTCGGGTCAAAACGTAATGAGCTTGTTAGTTCCGTTTCACGTTTCACCAGTAGATGGCAGTATAATCAAGGCAAATATTAACTACATTAAATGAGAGCTATCAGGGACATTTACAGTTGTGTGTCATGTTGTGTGTAACGTTGTGTGTAATGTTGTGTGTGTATTGTCATGTGTGTACTGTTGTGTATCTGCTGCAGGGATGTTCATAGCCCCAGTCAGAGGAGTGTACCACTTCCAGGTTCATGTTTTAGAAGTCTTTGGTGGAAGTTACACGGCGTTAGTTTCTCTGATGAAGAATGGATCGAGGATGTTTTCAGCCAATGAGTTCCAGGCGTCAGGGAACGGCTCCGCCTCCAACTCCATGTCTGTGCTGCTGGAGGCGGGAGATGTGGTCTATGTGCGTCTCTGGAGCAACAATCGTATTTACGACAGCACGTATCACCTCAACACCTTCAGTGGTCACCTGCTGTTCACCGTCTGACCTGTGACCTGTGACCTCTGACCTCAAATACAGCATTAAAGGCTCTGTCTTTTCGTTGTTTCTTTTCTTTGTTTGACTGAAACATCCATCCATCCATCCATTTTCTTCCGCTTTATCCGTTGCCGGGTCGCGGGGGCAGCAGTCTAAGCAGAGACACCCAGACTTCCCTATCCACACACACTTCCTCCAGCTCGTCCGGGGGGACCCCAAGGCGTTCCCAGGCCAGCTGAGAGACATAGTCTCTCCAGCGTGTCCTGGGTCTTCCGCGGGGCCTCCTCCCGGTGGGGCGTGCCCGGAACACCTCCCCAGGGAGGCGTCCAGGAAGCATCCGGAACAGATGCCCGAGCCACCTCAACTGGTTCCTCTCGACGTGGAGAAGCAGCGGTTCTACTCCGAGCTCCTCCCGTGTGACTGAGCTCCTCACCCTATCTCTAAGGGAGCGCCCAGCCACTCTGCGGAGGAAGCTCATTTCGACCGCTTGTATCCGCGATCTCGTTCTTTCGGTCATTACCCAAAGCCTATGACCATAGGTGAGGGAGGGAACGAAGATTGACCGGTAAATCGAGAGCTTTGCCTTTCGGCTCAGCTCCCTCTTCACCACAACGGTCCGATACAGCGACCGCATAACTGCGCACGCTGCACCGATCCGCCTGTCAATCTCACGCTCCATTCTTCCCCCACTCGTGAACAAGACCCCGAGATACTTGAACTCCTCCACTTGAGGAAGGACCTCTCCACCCACCTGCAGAGGGCAAGGCACCTTTTTCCGGTCGAGCACCATGGCCTCGGATTTGGAGGTGCTGATTCTCATCCCAGCCGCTTCACACTCGGCTGCAAACCGTCCCAGTGCATGCTGCAGGTCCTGGTTCGTTGGAGCCAACAGGACAACATCGTCCGCAAACAGCAGAGATGAAATCCTGTGGTCTCCGAACCGGACCCCCTCCGACCCCTGGCTGCGCCTAGATATTCTGTCCATAAATACAGTGAACAGAACCGGTGACAAAGGGCAGCCCTGTCGGAGGCCAACATTCACCGGGAACAGGTCTGACTTACTGCCGGCAATGCGTACACAGCTCTGGCTCCGGTCATACAGGGATCGGATGGCCCTCAGCAGAGGACCTCCGACCCCGTACTCCCGGAGAACCCCCCAAAGGACACCCCGGGGAACACAGTCGAACGCCTTCTCCAAATCCACAAAGCACATGTGGACAGGTTGGGCGAACTCCCATGAACCCTCGAGTATCCGATGGAGAGTATAGAGCTGGTCCAGTGTTCCGCGACCGGGACGAAAACCACACTGCTCCTCCTGGATCCGAGATTCGACCATCGGCCGTAACCTCCTCTCCAGTACCTTGGAGTAGACCTTACCGGGGAGGCTGAGGAGTGTGATCCCACGATAATTGGAACACACCCTCCGGTCCCCCTTCTTGTAGAGAGGGACCACCACCCCGGTCTGCCACTCCATTGGCACTGCCCCCGATCGCCACGCGATGTTGCAGAGACGTGTCAGCCAAGACAGTCCTACAACATCCAGAGACTTTAGATAATCAGGGCGGATCTCATCCACACCCGGAGCCTTGCCACCATGGAGGCTACCAACCACCTTGGTGACCTCAGCCAGGGAGATGGATGTACCCGCCCCAACATCCTCAGCCTCTGCCTCTGTAACAGAGGACGTGACGGGGGGATTGAGGAGAACCTCAAAGTATTCCTTCCACCGCCCGACAATATCCCCAGTCGAGGTCAGCAGCTCTCCACCCGCACCGTACATGGTGTTGGCAAAGAACTGCTTCCCCCTCCTGAGGCGCCGGATGGTTTGCCAGAATCTCTTCGAGGCCGACCGATAGTCATGCTCCATGGACTCTCCGAACTCCTCCCAGTCCCGGGTTTTTGCCTCTGCAACAGCCCGAGCCGCGGCACGCTTGGCCTGCCGGTACTGGACAGCTGCCTCAGGAGTCCCCCGAACCATCATGGCTCGATAGGACTCCTTCTTCAGCCTGACAGCATCCCTTACTGCCGGTGTCCACCACCGGGTTCGGGGGTTGCCGCCGGGACCAGCACCAGAGACCTTGCGACCACAGCTACGAGTCGCCGCATCGGCGATTGAGGCAGAGAACATGGTCCACTCGGACTCCATGTCCCCCTCCTCCGCCGGGACCTGGGAGAAGCTCTCCCGGAGGTGTGAGTTGAAAGTCCGTCTGACAGGGGGCTCAGCGAGACGTTCCCAGCAGACCCTCACTATACGCTTGGGTCTGCCAGGTCTGACCGGCTTCTTCCCCTGCCAGCGGATCCAACTCACGACCAGGTGATGATCGGTTGACAGCTCCGCCCCTCTCTTTACCCGAGTGTCCGAGACACGCGGTCGAAGGTCAGATGATACGACAACAAAGTCGATCATCGACCTCCGGCCTAGGGTGTCCTGGTGCCACGTGCACTGGTGGACGCCCTTGTGCTCGAACATGGTGTTCGTGATGGACAAACCGCGACTGGCACAGAAGTCCAACAACTGAGCACCGCTCGGGTTCAGATCAGGGGGGCCGCTCTTCCCGATCACCCCTCTCCAAGTGTCATTGGCATTTCCCACATGGGCGTTGAAGTCCCCCAGGAGAATAACGGAGTCCCCGGGCGGTGCACCGTCCAGTACCCCTCCCAAGGACTCCAAGAAGGCCGGGTACTCTACACTGCTGTTAGGCCCGTAGGCCGTCACAACAATGAGAGACTTGTCCCCCACCCGGAGGCGGAGGGACGCGACCCTCTCATTCACCGGGGAGAACTCCAACACGTGGCGGCTGAGATGGGGGGCAATGAGAATGGCCACCCCAGCTCGCCGCCTCTCCCCGCGGGAAACTCCAGAAAAGTGGAGCGTCCAACCCCTCTCAAGGAGTTGGGTTCCAGAGCCCAAGCTGTGTGTGGAGGTGAGGCCGACTATCTCTAGTCGGTATCGCTCAACCTCCCCCACGAGCTCGGGCTCCTTCCCCCCCAGTGAGGTGACGTTCCACGTCCCAAGAGCCAGATGTTGTGTGTGCGGACTGGGTCGCCGAGGTCTCCGCCTTCGACTGCCGCCCAGTCCTCTCTGCACCGCTTCACCACGGACCCCTCTGCAGGTGGTGGGCCCACAGGAGGGACTGCCCACGTCCTCCCTTCGGGCTGAGCCCGGCCGGGCCCCGTGGGCTAAGGCCCGGCCACCAGGCGCTCGCATACGGGCCCCGACCCCAGGCCTGGCTCCAGGGTGGGGCCCCGGCTGCGCCATGCCGGGCGACGTCACTGTTTTCGTGTTAGTGCTGTCCATGGTGTCTTCTGGACTGCTCTTTGTCTGACTCGTCACCTGAGACCTGTCTGCCATGGGAGGCCCTACCAGGGGCATGAAGCCCCAGACAGCATAGCTCCCAGGATCATCCGAGTACTCAAACTCCCCCACCACGTTAAGGTGGCAGTCCAGGGGGGACTGAAACCTTAACTGAAACAGTTAACCTTAACTGAAACAGTTCATTTCAATCAACTTTTATGACACATGTCAGACTCATCTGTCGCCTCAGGGGGCGGGGCCAGCAGGGAGTAAACAAATACAGCAGATAAACATACAACAACAACAACAACCACACAGACACACACATACACAGACACACACAGACACATGGATCTAAACTCCATGTCCTGAGTAACTAGTATCAGCACTAAATGAAAGCAGAAGTATGAAGCGGTGAGAGCACGTGTCCTGATACTCTTCTTCTTATAGACCAGGGGTGTCCAAACTTTTAGTCAGATGGTCACTTTAGTTCACCAAGACTGACTGAGTTAAGTAAGTAAGTAATATTTATTTATATACCGCCTTTCACAGACCAGAGTCACAAAGAGGTTTACATTTGTTATTTTTGGGCATTAGTCTGTCACTCACACAGAGATGGGCGGGGCCAGTACAGGAGGCACAGACCAATTGTACATGTTTTTAGAGGTATGGGAAACCGAAGCACCCGGAGGAAACCTACGCAGACAGAGTTATGGCTGTTCTGAGCTTTGAAGGGTTATAGGAGGATTTGTCTCGCAAATCACCAAAATGATTGACATTTAGGACCAATAATTTAGATGATCCACCCGGAAGAAGAAAATCCTCCTGTTTAGCTTTAAGATGAAACACCTATATTAGATCACATGTGATGGAGCTCTCTGGTCTCACTCTGGTCTCTCTCTGGTCTCACTCTGGTCTCTCTCTGGTCTTTTTCAGGTCTCTCTCTGGTCCCTCACTCTGGTCTCTCTCTGGTCTCGCTCTGGTCTCGCTCTGGTCTCTCTCTGGTCTCTCTCTCTGGTCTCTCTCTCTGGTCTCTCTCTCTGGTCTCTCTCTGGTCTCTCTCTGGTCTCTCTCTGGTCTCTCTCTGGTCTCGCTCTGGTCTCTCTCTGGTCTCTCTCTGGTCTCGCTCTGGTCTCGCTCTGGTCTCGCTCTGGTCTCGCTCTGGTCTCTCTCAGGTCTCTCTCAGGTCTCTCTCTGGTCTCTCTCTGGTCTCTCTCTGGTCTCGCTCTGGTCTCTCTCTGGTCTCTCTCTGGTCTCTCTCTGGTCTCTCTCTGGTCTCGCTCTGGTCTCGCTCTGGTCTCGCTCTGGTCTCTCCCTGGTCTCTCTCTGGTCTCTCTCTCTGGTCTCGCTCTGGTCTCTCTCAGGTCTCTCTCTGGTCTCTCCCTCGTCTCTCTCTGGTCTCTCTCTCTGGTCTCTCTCTGGTCTCTCTCTGGTCTCTCTCTGGTCTCTCTCTGGTCTCTCTCTGGTCTCTCTCTGGTCTCTCTCTGGTCCTGAGTTCCCTGCTCTGTGACTGAGGCTGTATCCGAATGTCCACACTATACCCTATATAGTGCACTATATAGTGGTCACGCCATTTTGTAGGGGTGTCCGAATGTCCAGAGAGAAAAAGTAGTGCACTGGAATTTTCCCACAATGCATCTCGAACATGTAGTGAGCAGCGATGGTCACTAGACGGAAGTAAAATGGCGGAGGCACAGAGAGACGAGCTGGACGC